TGGAGAGTGGCAGGTCCCTTCAATGGAACCCCCACTTCTTTAGCAATCTTAACACTCTTGACAGAACCCTCAAAGTCCAAATCCATAGTGCCCTTTCTCTTTATCATTCTTTCAGCATGCAACAAGTCTAGATCACCATTATCTCCAAGTTCAACAACATGTTCATTGCTTTTGCCAAACAATTTCTTAGGAGCTTGTTTAACCACCACCTCCAAAAGTTGACCGTCATCAACCCTATTATTATTTCTCACAGCACGAGAAGGTCTTCTGCGTGGTTTCTTAATCTTCAAACTTGTCCCGGAAGACCCAGCATCCACAATGCCAGCTCTAAAAACTGTCGAACAACCTTGATTATCAAAAAAAGCATCCACGAAATTGCCAACCACTTGTTCAAACTGAGTATGTCCCACTAAAGGACCTAGGCCCATCGCCACAGACCCCCTTTGCTTGTTTATAGTTTCTTTTGCTTGTGTCTTTGTCTCGGTTTGATATTGGGTTTATAGAGTAGATGGATTCAGTCGTTTTTTGTGATTTGGGGAGATGGAGTCGCCGATGTCAGTGGCCCTTGGAGATTGGCTCATCTCTCGCAGGTGTCTTCTTCATCTATGTCTTGTCTCCTTCGTCCTCGATCTGCTCGGTGTGTGGGTTCTCTTGGATTGGATTGGGTCCTGGATGCAGTTTCCTCACTGGTCTACGTTTGATCGGACATAGGTGATTCTTCCCATATCAGAATTTCGATTGGTTCATTGCGAGGTTTCTCCTCCTTGCCGTGGCTCTTTTGTGTATTTTCCTTGTGGGTTTTAGTTCTTCCGGTGATTTATGGGGATTGTGACAATGGTGTTGGTGCTTCTGTTTGTTAGATAGTGGTTCGAGTTCCGCTTCATGTGCAATTTCGTTTATTGTAATTCGAGTTGGGATTTGGTGGAATGACTGGTGTCAATTTGTCCTCTGATGCGGCTTCTCCGCTCATGAACGCGCCTCCTCTTAGCGTCCTTCAACTCTTGATACTCGTGAATCCGGTCTCTTTGATTACTTTGTTTGGTGATGAGTCTTCATTTCAAGCTTGGTTGGTTATGGTTTTTGAAGAGGGAAGCGGTTTCGATGCTCAGTTTAGACTATTTGGGATGTTATCGCGCCTTCAAATTCTGTTGCTTTCGTCGTTTGGATGAAGTTTCTTCTCGATTGATCCCTTTGTTTTGGTCTCCATTATTTTGCTCATGCTTTGTCTGTTGGAGGTGGTGACTTTTATGCTCAGCTACGGTGGTGTGTCTTTTGTTCTTATGGCATCTCGGACTCGCACCTTTTGGCTTGTCTTTCTTGTAGTCTGATTTGGTTTCGGTCCATCCACCTTTTCTTTGCCCTTGGGTATTGTTTGTGGCTGAGTTTGTGTTAGTTCTCATTTTTAGTAATCTTAGCGGTGAAGTGCTAGCCTTGTTAGTTTGGATTAAATTTCATGGTTCCTTTGATGTCCCTTGTAAGGGCTTTGTATCTGGGGAATTCTAGTTTGTCCGCCGGCTTATCTTTAGTTCCAGCTTTGTAATCCTTTCGGTTTCATTCCAAGTTTAATAAATATTTCAGATGACCAAAAAAAAAAGATGTCACTACAATTTGGTTAACCAATTGGATGGAGTGTTGTTTATAAATACAAAATTAAAAGTTCTAATACGTGCAGAACGGACTAGGCAGTCCGCATGTATATTACGGGAACGAGGGATCGAAGATAAAGAGAATCGGGAAAAGCGATCTTGCAAATCCCTGAGTCTAGCTGACAGAATGGAGAACGCATATCATTCTTCCGGATACCGCACGATATCCACCAGGTTAGAGGAGTCTGTCTCAAACTCTTGGCACTCCATCACTCTCTCCAGCATAGACGATATAGCCCAAATAAGAATTTTCATCTTCGAAAGCAATGGGGATCTCCGGTGACTTATGCCTTGCACACCGAGTAATACCGGATACTCTCCTTCAAAGCAGCACCATCCAAGCCCTGAAGTAAGATCCGTCTCCTTCCATGAGCCATCCACTTGGCACCGCGTCTGAGTACGCGATCAAACTTCTCCCTGTAGTTCCCTCTCTATGGTATGTCCAACCTCTGGTAAAGTGTTTTGGCTTCCGTCCATGCAAGAAATTCGCTTTCTGCCAATTGCATAATGTCATGTGGTATACCATCAACCCCTTGAAAACATCTCTTATTTCTAGATTTCCATAGATACCACATAATCCATGGAAATATTGTACAATCCCCACTAAGAGTATCCTCCCTCATGATCCTCCATAACAGAAAATCCATATTGGCATATATCGAGGTATAAGGGAAACATGCCTTGCCCCTATGTGATAAAA